CACCCAAAAAAAAAAAAAAAAAAAAAAAAGAATTACTGTATTGGGACCAGCAGGTGGTGTGGTGGTTAAGGCACTGAACACTCCCACATGGCCAACAACAGTTCAAGTCCCAGACCTGGTAGCTTGCTTTCTCACTTTCCCCCTATTTCTGGCCAAATTAAAATGAATAAATGAATAAATAAAAATTTTAAAATAATTAATTGGAGCCAGCAGGTGGCATGGTGGTTAAGGTACTGGACACTCCCACATGACAGACCAGGGTTAAAGTCCTGATGGCTTGCCTTCTCACTTCTTTCTCTTTGTATGTCTCTGTCAAATTAAAAATAAATGAATGAATAAATAAAATTAAATAAACCTTAAAGATTAAAAGTAATTCATTATTATTATTTTAACTTGACCAGAGAGAAACGGGGTGGGGGGTGAGAAAGCTAACCACCAGCCCAAGGACTCAAACAGCCGTCGCCATATGGGAGTCCAGCGCCCTAACCGCCACACCACCTGCCAGTCCACCCCTGTTAACTCTTCTCCCACACCTGCCTCCTGCGCCCTGACGCTAGTCACTTACTGTCACTGTCTCTCCTGGAGTCCGCCGTCCCGGTTTCCGGGCCCGGCTCGGTTTCGTCCGCTCGCAGTCTCTCCAGCCTGCCCTCGCGGCTCTGTCTCTGGTCTCTCTCGGCGTCTCTCAGCCGCAGCGCCCCCACCCCCAAGTTCTCTGTCCAACGCCCGCGTTGCCGTTGAACAGCCGCCAGGTAAGGGTTGCCCTGGAGACGCTCGGCCCGCCCACTGGAGGGAACACAAAGAAACGCCGCCGGCCGCGCGCGCGCACGCACGCACGGCGGGGAGTGCCGACTCCATCTCCCAGAATGCACCGGGCCGACCCGCTCTCCATTTTGCGTTCGGGGAGGAAACTGAGGAGCCTCGCCTCCTGATCGGGGGTTGCCATGGAAACGGGGAGCCGAATGCGTCCCAGTGACGGCCGTGATTGGTGCAGATCCCTGCTAATCCCGAGAAGGCCGGTGGAGACTTGGAAAAACGTGGTGGGGGGCATGCGCGGTCTGGAAGACAGTACTGCCGTCCGTTGCCCCCTGAGAGGCTTGGGCACGTCAGCGGGGGCCAGACGCCTGGATTCGAGGCGGGGAGCGTGGGAAGAGGCAGCCGGGAATGTGATCTGGTCATTGCGACCACCGCTACTCCCGGGGACGCCAGGGGCGCGCGAACTGGTGCGCGGAGCGTTCTGGGAGACGTAGTCTGGTCGGGGAGTGCGCATGCTCAGGAGCGTGGAGCGGCCCGCTGAGCGCGGAGGTGAGGGCGTGGGCCTCTCCATAGGGAAGGCTCCGGCGGGGACCCGGGCGGCAACTGCGAACTCGGGGGTCGGCTGCCTGGCGAGTTCTGGTGTGCGGGACAGGGGTCCGGGCTCTTCCTGCAGGCCGGCCGGCACTGTCGCGCGAGGCTCGTCAATCACCGCTCATTGCCACGGCTGCAGGGTCCAGGAGCCCCGCCCCCGGTTGCCATGGCGACGCTGGGTCTTGAGGCGGTGCCCTAGAACGGAAGTTGCCCGCTTGGGCTTCTGGGAAGTGTATTTCGGGAGCCTCCACAAGGACCCACAGCCTTGGCGATGACCCGCTTCTCCCAGGTGTCCGGTTGATTTGGAATCTTGAGGAGTGAAAGTTTGACCCAAGGGATCCGGCGGCCATCGAATTCGATGCTACTTATAAGGGGTGATTCTTAATAAACTCAGATCACAAATCCCCAGCTGCAGAAAGAGCAGAGGTCAGCCCCATTTTCACATACGGAAACCGAGGTTCACAGAAGCACAGTGACCTGAAAGTGGGTGAAATCAGTATCTTTGGCCTTCGTAGGCCGTTGATCCAGTGGTCTTGGAACTTCTGCACTAGCCACCCCTCCCTCCCTAAATTCCCCCATCATCTCACAGCATCTATTCAGGGAGCTAAAAAGATGGGGCCTTGCCGGTGTGAGAGGGGCTCAGAGAAGGTGCTGTACTGGCTGAGGAGGAGGACAAGGTGGGTCAAGGCTGCCCCCCGAAACCTGGCTAAGTGAACGACGGTGGTGCCAGAGTGAGGGGCCAGCTCTGAGAAGCCAGGAGGCGAGGCCAATGGCAGAGAGGAGTGGGGTGGGGAGCAGGCAGCAGTGGTGCTGATGCCGCCTTCCTGGCTGGAGAGAAGGCCAGGGCTGCAGATGGTTCAGCAAGGGCTTCCAGCTCTGCAGGTCCCAAGAGTGTGGCCCCTAATCTGTGCCTCAGTCTTACCAGCTGCTCTCCACGGGCAGGTCTAAGGCTCGCACAGCATAGCATCCAGTGGGCACTCCGAGCGTTTGCTGCCAAGCATGTTCTTACTGCAGCAGCCTCATTCTGTTCCATCCCCAGGGGCAGATACTAGTCTCAGAGACCTGGGCTGGTGCTCCCAATGAGGCCTGCTGTGCTGGGCTCTCCAAGCCATGCACCTCCAGAAGAGGAAGGACCTGTCATGGTGAAGCTGGAGGACTCTGAGGAGGAGGGTGAAGCTGCCCCATGGGACCCAGGCCCTGAGGCTGCACGCCTGCGCTTCCGGTGCTTCCGCTATGAAGTGGCAACAGGGCCCCAAGAGGCCTTGGCCCATCTCCGAGAGCTGTGTCGCCAGTGGCTTCGACCTGAGGCACGCTCCAAGGAGCAGATGCTGGAGCTACTGGTGCTGGAGCAGTTCCTGGGTGCGCTGCCCCCTGAGATCCAGGCCCGTGTGCAGGGGCAGCTTCCAGGCAGCCCTGAGGAAGCTGCAGCCCTGGTTGACAGTCTGCGTCGGGAGCCAGGCGGGCCACGGAGATGGGTGAGTCGGTGCCCCTGGTGAGGGGTCAGGACTAGAGCATGTCCAGCTGTGGTTCACACTGGGAGGCACAATGCGTGGCCAAACAAAGCTGTTCATTGTGGCACGTGGCCACCTTCAACAGGGACCCTTTGCAAGACTTCCCTGTAGACGGCAGAGAGGGTTTTGGGGCCAGCCAGTCCCTTGAACAAGGGCGGGACCAGCAGTTAGCCTAATGGCTATGACGCTGGACTCCCATGTAGTTGACCAAGTCCTGGATCTGGTGGCTTAAACTCATGCCAGGCACGTGTGTGCCCAACATCCCGAGAGAATGGAGGAGAAGGGGTTGTGGTGTGACCATCCCCGCTGGGGGGTGATTTCTCACTTTCTGTCTCTCTGGCAAGCGCACATGCTCTGTAGCAAAAACCTCTTCAAAAAAAAAGGGGGGGGCCAGAGGGTGGGGAGAGGGGAGGACACGGACAGCTCTGGTGTCAGCAGCAGGAGAGTGACTACAAGTGGAGCTGTGCTGCCAGGGCCTGTAGGAAGGTCCTCATCAGTAGCATTTACCAGGCAGAGCTCTGGGGCCCTGCAGTGAGGTGGGTATCCATGAACCCTAAGTGGCACCTAGCCTCACTCTCTGTGCTTCTGGTGGTGGGGGCACCTCTCCAGGTCACAGTCCAGGTACAGGGCCAGGAGGTCCTTTCAGAGAAGACGGAGCCTTCCAGCTTCCAGCCCCTACCTCAGCCTGAGCCTCAAACTCCAGAACCGGGGCCCATACAGGAATTACCATTGGACCTTCAGGTGAAAGATGAGCCAGAGATTACAGAGGACCCAGGTGAGGACAGTTAGGGTGGGCAAGGCCTAAAGTCTGGTTAGGTGGCCCAGAACCATCCAGAGTGTACTAGGTAAGGCCTCTGCTAGATGGAGCGGTTCCTGTGTGGTAGTAGCCCTGCATCTCACCTAGTTGGGCTTCCCGCATGCTAGGACTGTCTCTCACACCAAGTCGGTGTGCATGGCCCATTTCCATGGCTCTCCTCTGGCATAGAGTAGGCTATTGGTACTTTCCTGGGTGGGAGGCGTGTGGATTCCCTCACCCAGGGCGATTCACCAAGGGATATCCACTGATTGCTGGGGAGTGGACAGCAGGCCAGAGTACAGGTGGGTGCTGCTGAGGGCGGACCCTGCAGTGTTGGGGGTGTGCCCCCATTTACCTGCGAGGATGCACACCTGAGCCGCTGCCCACACCCTACCATTCCTGTTGACCTTGTACAGTCCCCACACCCACAGCCATCCAGGATGCTGTCAGACAGGTGTAGGGGCCAGACTTGAGCCCAACACATCTTGCTGTCACTTGACCCCTGCCCTTCCAGGGTGCTTTATCCCTTTCCCTGCCTGAGCCTGGCATGTTCAGGTGTGTAGTGGGGGCAGTGGGGTGGGAACTTTAGGGCTACCTGACCCTACTCTTCCTCCCTAGAGCTCCTGGAGTCTGGGCCTCTAGCTGCCACACAAGAGGCTGCACCCACCCTCCTGCTTGAGGAGGTCCAGGTGAGCCCTGCACTCAGCGTCCCGTCCTTGCTGCCCCAGGACCCTTGCGAGTGGGGGTGGGGAAGGTCCCTTGCTAAACCAGGAGGCACAGATGAGCAGTTACCACTGTGGTTTCAGGGCTATGGGATGGCACTGGAGCAAACCTCTCCCAGCAGTAAGACTGAGCCTGAGGGGTCTTCATGGAGGGAGCACCCTAGGGCCCTATGGCAGGAGGAAGCTGGGGGCATCTTCTCTACAGGTGAGTGAAGCAGGGCATGGTGGTTCTGGGCCCTCTGTGTGGGCAGCACCACATCCTCCAGCTGTGCTGCTGGACAGACCCAAGTAGCCCTCTCATTCCAGCATCCCTATACTCCCTGGCTCATGAGACCCCGGCCCTTACATGTTCAGCCTGCTTGCTCTAGCATCTTTTGCCCTCAAAAGCTCAGCCCACCACTGACCCACAGCCCCTGTAGCTGCTTCTCCCCACCATGGTAAAACCTTCCCACACCCACATCTCCTACCAGGCCAGGCATCCTATATGGCCCCCAATTCTGAGCCTGCATCCTCCTGGTTAGGCACCAGGGCAGCGGCTCTTGGGACCTGGCAAGGACAACAGCTTAATAGGGCACAGGAAGGGGATTGGGCAGGTACAAACCAAGATCCTGCCCACCAGCCACTGCATGCCAGAGGACCCTGGCCATCCACCTCTCAGCCCCTGCCTTTGCTGCTGTCATTGGACTCCTGCCATGTCATGTTTCCTGTTCCCAGACCCAGGGTCTTCTCTTTGGTTTACTCCCTTGTCTTAGAGGAACTTTCTGGTGTGGGAGGTAAAATTCTGAGATACATATCTGAAATACATTTGTCTAACCCCCAACGTTAGATTGAAGCTTAATCAGAAAGTGTCTTTTATTAACTCTTTCTTGGGTCTTTTTTATCACTGTTGGTGAACACTTTAAATCCTTTATATCTCTCAGTTGTGGGAAATTGCCTTCAAATGTTTCTTAGATTTTCTTCTTTTGATTTTCCTCCACTGTTTTGGTCTCCATTTCTGGGGTGCCTGTTTGGCTATTGACCTCTGGAACAGGTTCACTAATGCTCTTTTATCACTCCAATTTTCCATCTCTGTCTTTCAGCTGTATTTTCTGGGAAATTTCCTCACTTATGTGTTCCCTACCTTCTGTTGAGATTTTTATTTCTGATAGCATATTTTTAATTAATGAGAATGTTTTCTTCCTCTGAAACTTTTTTTGTAGCCGCTTTCCATTCTTTCTGTTGTAATACATTTATTTATCTGAAGAAAGCAATAACTTAATTTTTTTTTATTTTTTTCTCATACCATGGCCTGTTTCCTCTACATTGCTTATGTGTAAGGCAGGGGGTCTACAAACCTAGCTGGAGATTCTGAGCTGGTGGGTAAGGGGCTTACTGGCTGTGACAACAAACTAGGGCTGGGAAGGACATGGTCACTCCAAAGGAGACCCACTTCTTGGGGACATGAGTGGGTGGGTGGGGTCTTTAGCAGACACTGCTGAAGGTTCTGGCTGAGCTGCTTTGCATCTTGGAGCATCTTTAGGTTCTTCCTCTGAGTCCCTCAGTCTTCCCTGCCAGCATTTGATGAGAGGGGTTGATGTTTCAGCACCCAGTGTGACTATTTACTTAATCTCCGACTTTTTCACTGTGGTCTCCTACCCTCAACACAGCCTTCTGCCGGGAGAAGAAATCTAAGAGCTGTAGTTGTGCATACTTTTGACTCAGAATTCTGTACAGACAGGGTAGCAGGTGACTTGGTGGTTAAGGTGCTGGACATTTCCACGTGACTGACCAGGGTTCGAGTCACAGTGGCTTCCTTTCTCTCTTTCTCATCAAATTAAAATAAATGAGTGAATACGTGACCATCAGATGCCATAATGGCTATGTCGACTGCGGTTTCAGTCCCAGACCCGACGGCTTAAACTCACACCAGACGTGTGTGTGTGTGTGTGTGTGTGTGTGTGTGTGTGCACATGCATGCCCAAGATCCCGATAGAATGGAGGAGAAGGAATTGCAGCATGGCCATCCTCCCTGGGGGGTGATTTCTCACTTTCTCTCTTATCATCTCTGTTTCTTAGGTGGGCACACGCGCCCTAAGGCAAAAACCTCATTAAAAAAACGTATAAGCTAAAAAGAACTTTATTGTACTTTACTCTGGGGTTTAGAATTAATAAATTTAGGGAACCAGCAGTTAGCGTAATGGCTATGTCACTGGACTCCCACGTAGTCAACCGCGGTTTGCGTCCTGGACCCGGTGGCTTAAAACTCACGCCGGGCGCGTGTGCGTGCGTGCCCAAGATCCTGAGAGGAGAATGGAGGAGAAGGGATTGCGACATGACCATCCCCCCTGGGGGTTGATTTCTTGATTTCTGTCTCTATGTCTCTGTCTGTCTAGCGAGCACACGCGCCCTATAGCGAAAAAAACCTCCCCCCGCAAAAAAAAAAAGAATGAATAAATTTAGATAGATGCCACTATTGCCCAGAAATCCCCACTTGATTTCTTTTTGTTAATCAATAAGGATTTTGCTTTTTTAAGATTTTATTTTTTTTACTATAGGGTGCAAACACTCACCAGAGAGGGACAGAAAGTGAGAAATCACTCCCCAGGGTGCAATCCCTTTTCCCTTCTCCTCTCAGGATCTTGGGCATGCATGCAGCATGAGTTTTATTTATTTGTTTGTTTGTTTGTTTGTTTTTAAAGAATTATTTAAATTTATTTATTTTAATTTGACCAGAGTGGGACAGAGTGAGAGAGAAGAGAGAGAGAGAAAGTAAGAAAGGCAGGTGTAGGGGACCAGCAGTTAGCGTAATGGCTATGTCACTGGACTCCCATGTAGTTGACCGCAGTTCAAGTCCCGGACCCGGTGGCTTAAACTTAAACCAGGCACATGTGCGTGCGTGCCCAAGATCTTGAGAGGAGAATGGAGAAGGGATTTTGGCGTGGCCATCCCCCCTGAGGGGTGATTTCTCGCTTTCTATCTCTCTGTCTCTCTCAGTCTGGCAAGTGCACATACCCTGTAGCAAAAACCTCTCAAAAAAAGAAAGAAAGAAAGAAAGCCAGGTGTGGAACTTGAACCACAGTCAGTTATGTGGGAGTCCAGCTCCCTTAACCACCATGCCTCCTGCCAGTCCCCTGGCATGAATTTTAAGCCACTGGGTCCAGGACTCAAACTTTGGTCAACTATATGGGAGTCCAGTGATGTAACCATTACACCATCTCCTGGTCCCATCTCCTTAAACTTTTATCTAGATTTTATGTATTATTATTATTAATTTGACCAGAGGCAGAAAGGGAAAGAAAGAAAGCAAGTCCCCAGATCTGGGACTTGAACAGCTGTCAGCCATGTGGGAGTTCAGTGCCTTAACCACTATGCCACCTTCCGGCCTGACCTCTGGTATTTAAATGCCCTTTCTAAACTAATCATTTAGAGCACTCTGTTTTCTCAGGTGCAAGTTCTTCTACTGATTGCACTGTCAACAGTCTGCCCTTTCAGAGCCGGGAGCTTGTTTGCCCTGCCCTAAACATCATCCTAGGTGAGGGGCTGCCACTGGATCTGTCATAAACCTGAAGCGCAAGGTTCATCTGGGCTCCAGGTCAGTCAGTACAGATACCCTGGGCCAGGTATCTGGTGGGTAGACTGGGCCAAACTCAACCCATGCCAGCAGTCCCAGCTTCACAGTGGAGTCTGGCTTTGATCTTGAGGTCCCTACAGCCTTAGGGCTCGCTGCACCAGTGAACCTCACCAACTGTCATTTCTTGCTTCAGAGCTGCCCCAACTATTTTTAAAGCCCCTATCCTTCTATGTTGTTTGCATTTCTGCAAGTTGGAACAGAAAGGAGCAAGATTGAACCCCTGCACCTTTGTTGCTTCAGCCCTGCTGGCCCAGCCTGTGCTGCTCAGCTGACCACTCCTCACTTGGACTGCTCCTCTCCTTCACAGCTTCACAGTCTTTGGCTTTGCTTCACTGCCTCAGGCATCTTGGCCCATTTCTTCTCTGCACTCTCCTTGTTCAGAATGACAGCCAGCTTCAAACACCGATGTCTCTTGGCTGTCCTGGTATCCCATCAGATCCTCAGATTGCTTCCTTCATTCCCCAAATCTCCTTTGCAGCCAGAGATAGCATTTTCTAAATTTTGTCAGAGCTTTCTTATTTGAGAGATTTTTGTTATAGGACCTGTGCATCACCATAGTGACGAGAGACAGAAAGTGAGAAATCACCACCGAGGAGGGTGGGCATGCCCCAATCCCTTCTCCATTTTCCTCTTGGAATTTTGGGCAGTCACACACGCACATGCACCCAGTGTGAATTTAAGCCACCAGGTCCGGGACTCAAACTGCGGTTGACCACATGGAAATCCAGCAATGTAACCATTACGCCATCTGCTGATCCCTTGCCATAGCTTTTGTTTTCTTTTTTAAAAATTATTTTAGGGGTTGGGAACCAGCAGTTAGCGTAATGGCTATGTTGCTGGATTCCCACGTAGTCGACCGTGGTTCGCATCCCGGACTGGGTCCAGGACTCGAATCACAGTCAACTACATGGGAGTACACCAACAATGCCATTACACCAACTGCTGGTCCCATCAATGAGAAACTTTCAATGTAGGTCATTTATCAGGGAGACACACAGCTATTGGAGAAATAGGCAAAAGTAGAATTACTGAGTCAAAATGTGGGACATTTGCTGTTTTGATGGATTTTGCCACCATGGCTTGCCATTTAGGTTCAGCAACAATGCATGTGAATTTGTGGGTACCTGTGGTAAGGGTATGGAAATGACAGGTAAATTCAACCTTAATGTGTGTTTTTCTTTTTTTTCTTTTCTTTTCTTTTTTTTTTTTTTGAGAAGTTTTTCGCTATAGGGTGCATGCGCTCGCCACAGACAGAGGGAGACAGAAAGCAAGAAATCACCCCCCAGAGGGGATGGCCATGCCGTAATCCCTTCTCCATTCTCCTCTCAGGATCTTGGGCACGCACGCACACGCGCCTGGCGTGGATTTTAAGCCACCGGGTCCAGGACGCAAACCACGGTCGACTATGTGGGAGTCCAGCAACATAGCCATGACGCTAACTGCTGGTCCCAATGTGTTTTTTTCTTACTAGGAGAGTGAGCATATATTGTGGCACTTAAGCATTGGTTACATTTCCCTTTTTTTTTGAGAGAGAGATTGATTTTTGCTATAGGGCATGTTCATTCTCTGTAGAGACAGAAAGTGAGAAATCACCCCAGGGGGATAACCATGCTGTAATCCTTTCTCCATTCTCTCCGGATCTTGGGCACACACACCTGGCTTTTGTGTGCAGGACTCAACCATGGTTGACTACGTGGGAGTCCAGCGACATTACCAGTACGCCATCTGCTGGTCCCACGTTTCCTTTCTTATTCACGTCCTTTCCCATGTGGCTGTCTTACTGGTCTTGTTTTATTGATGATCTTTACTTAAAAGGATAATTCACTCTTTGCCTCTGAAGAGTTTTTCAGTTATGTCTTTTTTTTTTTTTTGCTATAGGGCGCGTGCACTCACCAGACAGACAGAGAGAGACAGAGACAGAAAGCGAGAAGTCACCCCCCAGGGGGGATGGTCACGCCGTAATCCCTTCTCCTCCATTCTCCTCTGGGGATCTTGGGCACGCACGCACACGCGCCCGGCGTGAGTTTTAAGCCACCGGGTCCAGGACGTGAACTGCAGTCGACTACGTGGGAGTCCAGCAACATAGCCATTATGCTAACTGCTGGTTCCCCCAGTTATGTGTCTTTTGACTGGGGGGATTTTTGCTGATTTCCTTTGATGCATTCTAATTCTAACTTTTTGTCGGCTTATGGATTTTCTTTATCCACTGAAATCCATGCTACTATGTCTTCACTTAACCTCCTCCAGGATTCCTCCTCCTCTAGCCTGCTTCTCAGTGACCTTTGCTGTTCTCTCTTTCTTCACCCTCCTTCTACGCTGGAGGGTTCACAGTGGCTAGGACCCACTTCTCTCCTTGGTAGACACCCACCCCATGTTAGTCACATCCATGTCCATGACATGTATGTACCACGTATTTGCCCCAGGGCCCATGTTCACTGTCCCCCCAGTCTGCATAGTCTCAGTTCCTCCAATGTTTCCACAGGCATCTCAAGCTAGGCACTTTGCAAACCCAGACCAAAAGAGAGGCATTCCTCTGCCTCTCCTTCCTGTCAGCTCCACCTCTGGCCTCCTTTCTCTGCATTTTTAGAAGACTGTTACTGGGAGCCAGAAACTGGTATAGTGGTTGGGGCACTGGACTCCCACATGGCCAACCGTAGGCTTTTTTTTTTTTTTTTTTTTGAGAGAGATTTTTGCTATAGGATATATGACCTCGCCTGAGACAGACAGAAAATGAGAAATCACCCCCAGAAGGAATAGCCATGCCACAGTCCCTTCTCCATTCTCTCAGGGTTTGGGGCACACATGCCCATGTGTCTGGCATAAGTTTTAAGCCACGGGGTCCAACAATCAGTCACACTGTGGTCAACCATGGAGTGCAGTGCCCTAACCACTGTGCCACCTGCTGGCCCCTGAACAGCAGTTTGGGTCTTGGACCTGGCCTCTCCCTCTCCCTCTCTCTCTCTCTCCCCCTCCCTCTCCCTCCCTCTCCCCCCGCCCTCTCCTCCCTCCTCCTCTTCCTCTCCCTCTCTTTCTATCTCTGATAAGTGCACATGCCCTATAGCAAAAAAATTTAATTATTTAATTCCATTTGTTGTTATTTTTTAATTTAGGGAATGCAAGAAAACCATCCGCCAGGTTCAGAACTCAAACTGTGGTCAACGATGTGGGAATCCAGTGCCTTTATCCATCACACCACCTGCCACCCCCTATAAGATTCATTGTCCACCAGACAGTGCCTGCCTGCCCCCACTACTGCCCAAGTCATTCGAGAAAGAGGTAGTTTTTTCTAACCTAGACTGAAAGCTTTGTCACACAGTGCAGCCCTCCTTATGTGAGGCTCTGTCCCATTTCCACCTCCACAAGGAGGCCTGCAGTTAGAAACCCTGCCATGTCACGGTCTGCCTCAGTGGGCAGCTGTCACATTCCTTCAGCTAACACTGGCCCCAGGGCTGAAGTGGGTCCAGGCACAATGGGCACTGTCATGAATGAGTGGATCCTCTTGTGCATTCAGGGTTTGCGCTTCAGATGGACAGCTTCTCCGCAGGCCCAGGCACTGTGAGCCCTAACCTTCATATACCCTGGGACCTCGGCATGGCCAGCCTCTCCGGCCGAATCCAGTCGCCTTCCCTCGAAGGTGGTTTCACGCATGTACTCCTGCGCCCCAGCAACCCAGGAAGCGAACTTAACCCTACCGACCAGGATCCCCGAGGTGGCATGGGCTCTGCACTGGTCGCTGCCCGCTGGTGTGCCCCCAGGGGACGGAGCCGGGGTCGCCCCAGCGCCGGAGCAGGGGCAGTGCGGGGCGGCCACTGCGACGTGTGTGGCAAGGTATTCAGCCAGCGCAGCAACCTGCTGAGGCACCAGAAGATCCACACGGGCGAGCGACCCTTCGTGTGTGGCCAGTGCGGCCGCAGCTTCAGCCGCAGTTCGCACCTGTTGCGCCACCAGCTCACTCACACCGAGGAGCGACCGTTCGTGTGTGGTGACTGTGGCCAGGGCTTCGTGCGCAGCGCACGCCTGGAGGAGCACCGGCGTGTACACACAGGTGAGCAGCCCTTCCGTTGTGCAGAGTGTGGCCAGAGCTTCCGACAGCGATCCAACCTTCTGCAGCACCAGCGCATCCATGGTGACCCCCCAGGCCCGGGTGCTGCGCCCACCACCCTTCCTGGTGCGCCGGAGCCGCCAGGCCCCTTTCCATGCAGCGAGTGCTGCGAGAGTTTCGCGCGGCGTGCAGTGCTGCTGGAGCACCAGGCGGTGCACACAGGCGACAAGTCCTTCGGCTGCGTGGAGTGCGGTGAGCGCTTCGGCCGCCGCTCAGTGCTGCTGCAGCACCGGCGCGTGCACAGCGGCGAGCGGCCCTTCGCCTGCGCCGAGTGCGGCCAGAGTTTCCGGCAGCGCTCCAACCTCACGCAGCACCGGCGCATCCACACCGGCGAGCGGCCCTTCACCTGCGCCGAGTGCGGCAAGGCCTTCCGCCAGCGACCCACGCTCACACAGCACCTGCGTGTGCACACGGGTGAGAAGCCCTTTGCCTGCCCCGAGTGTGGCCAGCGTTTCAGCCAGCGCCTCAAGCTTACGCGCCACCAGAGGACACACACTGGTGAGAAGCCCTACCACTGCTCCGAGTGCGGCTTGGGCTTTACTCAGGTCTCTCGGCTCACGGAGCACCAGCGCATCCACACGGGTGAACGGCCCTTCGCCTGCCCCGAGTGCGGCCAGAGCTTCCGGCAGCATGCCAATCTTACCCAACACCGGCGCATCCACACGGGTGAGCGGCCCTATGTGTGCCCCGAGTGCGGCAAGGCCTTCCGCCAGCGGCCCACGCTCACGCAGCACCTGCGCACCCACCGGCGAGAGAAGCCCTTCGCCTGCCAGGACTGTGGCCGCCGCTTCCACCAGAGCACTAAGCTCATCCAGCATCAGCGTGTGCACAGTGTGGAGTAGCTCTGGGGGTACCACCTTGGGCAGACATCACGGGGTGGCTGTCCCGCTGGTCATCTGTAAGCAGGCCTGCTCAGGGCCTGGCCCCTAGTAGGTGTTCAATAAACAGTAAAGGAAATTGTCTCTACCCACTAGGTGCCTCCCCACCAGTGCAGTCTCTCTGCCCACCCCACCCACTGCTCCCTCAACACTCCTGTGGTTACCAGCAGCACCTGCTCTGGGCTGTGAGGCTGGCATAGAAGCCCTGGCAGCCCCACCTCAGCTCTTCTCCAGCAATCTACTCCCCAGACCCAGAGAGGCCATGTCCTCTGTGAGCATCTGTCAAGAGCCCCCAAGTGTATAGCATGGTACCATGGCTGAGAGTCGAGAGACAGAGACACAGCAAATGTTTTGACAGACCTGCTAATTATGTGTTAGGTGATGGAGAGGTGATAGAAAGTTAAGTAAAACTGTCCTGGAGGTGGGAAAGGTAGAGGCTTGAGAAAGCAGATGAAGGGAAATACCCAACTCAGAAGCTCCAGTGAGCTCCTATGGAGTGAAGCTCAGGCCCTGAGAAGAGGGATTCTGGGCTTAGAGAAGCGTGTTCCGTGGGCCTAGGATAAGACTTGGGAGTGTCAGTGTGGCGCTCTCTAGGGGAGAGCCTGGTTCTGGGAGGTAGAACCTGAGTGCACTAGGGTGAAGAAAGACGCCTGCCCTGCTGGGAGGAGCAACTTTTCTCCCTTCCCAAACTGTGACAATTTGTCCTTCACAGCTACAGGTGAATTGCAGCATGTCTGTAGCGTCCCTGCCCTGCACTGTGATGCCCCGATGGACAGGTCTGGAGCCTAGCAGCAGGAAGCTATTGGGCAGCTGACACATGACTCTCCCTGAGAAGGGTTAGAGTCCCCAGGAGAATTACCAACCTCCCAAACCCACAAAGTCCTCTACCTTGCTCTAGGTAGGTGTTGATGGTCCCCACAATGCCACCTCTCTCCATCTCCAACTCAGCTCTCTGATCACCCTCACCCTAACAATACCCCAGTCCCTCACTGCAATGGTTATAAGTGCCAAGGCTTTCTTTCCAACTGTGGAAGCTGGTCCTCATGAGGACTCGGGGGCCTGGCCCCATCACTTCTGACAGCTGGGAGCCCAGCATCCCATTTCAATCCACCAAGGACATGCCAGCTTCCAGGATTGACACTGTGTGGCCTGTGATGCCTGCAACTTGAACATCTGCTATGGCTGCTCTTGGGGCAGTGGGTCATGCCATCTCTCACAAGGCCTGGACCAGCTCAGTTCTCCCAGTCAGCTGCCATAATCATCAGATGCAGCAACAGCATTAAGTTGCTACCTAGTGAGTCAGACCGCACCTTAGATGTGCTTGCAACTTTCTTAACACTTTTAGGAAACCATTTCCTAGGTTTAAAAGTTGGAGCATTTTACCTAGAAATTCAGATTTTTCAAGGCTTTTCTGCCTCCCCACGTTTGCAACCAACAGACACTGAGAGTAGAGGACACTGCAGACAGGATCCAGCCAGTCTAGGAAGCAAAGGCCCCAGACCCCAGGCCAGTTCCCCTGCCCTATGGAGATTGTTCTCATCACTCAGACTTCTGCCCTGGCCCAGTGCACATTTCCAGGGATCCTCCACACCAGGAAGTCTCTATCAGAGGCAATCACCAATCACAGAAAACACAGCTAACAGCAACTTGCATAAGAGTGGACAGACACAGCCAGTACAAAGTTGTCATCCTGCAGACTGACTCTTCTGTCCTAGTTTTCTTCCCCATCTAGGTTCTTGGTCAGGCCCTTGACACAGCCCCTACCCCTCCCAGGGGAGTGTCTTGGTTACAGATACTACAATCAAAGACGGTGCCAAAGGAAGGGTCTGAGTGTGACAGGGACCAGTTTGAATCCTAAATTGCAGTCAAGGTCTCACATTGAGCAGATGTCAGCCTGGGCATTTCCCGAAAGAACAATTTGAGACATGTCTTGAGCTGCTTCTGGAGGTACAGCTGGACTTTGCTGTGCTGCTAGTCTTCCAGAGCCCCAAGCCAGGGTTCTGGCCGCAGGGTAAGCAGATAAGCCAGTCTGGGACAGAGGCCTCTCCTATGTGGCACAGTGAGGGTTCCCTGGGACATATGAAAACACCCACTGTCCTCTCTGACCACCAAAGCCAGAGGCCTCGGCCTAGGATCTGCAGAATCTATTTAAGAGAGATTTTTGCCATAGGGTGTGTTCATTTGCTGGAGGGACAGAAAGTGAGAAATCACTCACAGGAGGGATGGCCACACCACAATCCCTTCTCAGTATCTTGGACACGCATGCACACACGCCCAGTGTTTTAAGTCGCAGGGTCCAGGACTCAAATTGCAGTCAACTAAGTGGGAATCCAGCAACATAACCATTACATCATCTCCAGGTCCCAGGATCTGCAGAATCTGAGATGGGAACAGGGCCCCTTAGCAAGAAAAGTGCTACCATATTATCAGCACTATAGAATGCCATGGGCCTCACAGAATGACCACTTGGTCTCATATAGCCAAAACCAAGAAGAGAAATCCAGGAGAGGAATCCCTAAGGCCCTGGTCAGCAGGAGCAGCTGTAAATGCCATGACCTCTCTCTGTACCTGAGGCCATACTGTTCACTCCCTAGGCCCCCACTGTTCCATCTGTCTAGTTATTTCCACCCCAACCCCAGCCTCCTGATCCTAGGTACTTTCTACTCATTTCTCTGATCCCAGCCACCCATCACTGGCCTGGTGGCTCCTGGGATTTCCCCTCAGCCGCCTCCTGTCTGCTCTTGCCCCTTCTCTCCAAAACAGACCCAGTCTTCCCAGAAGTCAACTTATTGCCCACTGCAATTCCGGCCTCACTTCTCACCCAGTGCACTCTGCCAGTCTCAGACACTGGCCCTAGCTCCTTTCAGGGCCTTTGCTCATGCTGAGCCCAGGTACTACTGGCACCTCACCTTCCAAGCCACCAACTCCCATGCTCCTCTGCCACCTGGGCAGTGGTGAGTGTGATAAGGAAGACACCTGCACAACATCCAACCCAGCAACTGGCTTCAGTTGAACCCCTCCTCCCTGGTCTGGACCCCATGACCTCTTTCTCAGCATGCTCAATGTTTGATGGTAAGCCCTAAGTCCAGTTTTGCCTAGTACAGCATCACTTCTCTGGGGGACCAATTCTGCATCCTTATGTGGTCTCTGGGAAGGAGAGCTTCAGAAACTGTCCAGACACATGTAACTGACTGACCAATACAAACCACTCGAGACTGGATGGAAACAGCAGGATGGTCATTACCAGTGACATAGAGATGGCCAGCATGAAACTAATAGCATGGCCAGCACATAACAGGATGGTATGGCAGCAGTAAAATGCCTTACTCTGCAAGGCTGGCCCACATGGGAAGGTTCTGGGTTCTTGACTGGAGACCTCCCTGAGTATGCTTGGCACACACAAGTTCATGATCCAGAACTGACTGAGGCTGGGGTAGGTCAGTGTAAAGACCCCACTAGGGTCTTCCTGCATGTCTTTCTCTCATGAAAGAAAGTAAGTTAACAAAAGGAAAAAATCTGCACAGAGCAGGGTGGCTGAGAATGCCAAGGGGAGTGGTGACAGTGACGCTGAGTCTGGAGAGGTCCTGAGTCCCAGAACCAGCCATATGTGAAGCCTGAGGAAGCTAGGACACCTGAAGTCACCTTGGTCCCAAATTGTTGAGGCTGCTAAGGCTTCATCCTTGCCCCAGATGTCCTCGGGATTCAGCTCTGAAGAATAAAAGCAAGAAAGTATGCTTAGAATGTGAAGCTGGCACAACTAACAGACTGAAGGGATCGGATGGTATCTGTCAGGGATAGAAGGCAGTTAAGGACAGCACTGGGTTGGGACATTGAGCACAGAGGGGCCGAAAGAAAAAGGCCAACAAACACGGCTTAGATCAGACTACGGGGCAAAGGCAACCAAGGGTACCTGGGCAGGCACAGGGTACGGTCTCCAAGGGCTCAGGGGCCAAGGGGACGGTAGCCCACAAGGCGGATGCGAGTCTCCGAGGTGAGGACAGGGATGTGGGCAGGTCCGGGGTTGGCGATGGAGAAGAGCGGGCGCCAGGCCGACTAACCCAGAAAAGGGTTAGTCGGGCCTCAGGCGCCCTTCCCTCATGCCCCTCCTAGGCACGCAGGGCTGAGATCCATGGAGGCTGGCGCAGTCCATACCCGGCCCTGGTGGCGGCGGAAACACAGGGGCTGCAGTGCAGGAGCTTGCGTCCCAGTCCCACGTGTGCTCGAGGCCTGTTGCAGGCCGCCGCGGTGCTTGTCACAATACGTTTTATTTCTCAGTTTACCTCGATCAGAACCTCCTAGAACAGGGATCTCTGGTTTTGAGATGGGACCCCGCGCCCTCCAGCCGACGCCCCTGGCCTGGTTCGCAGCCTTTGTGACCTCCGGGAACGAGGCCTCGTCCGACCCTCGCCTTCGGAGCGAAGAGGACCCCATCTGCCCCATTCAAAGATGGCGACCAAACGCCGCTTCCTACCCGGCCAGGCGAGCATCCCCGGAAGTAGCCGGGGACCACCGAATCATTAGCTCCAAGAACGGAAATACCCGATCCAAGCCGAAGGAACCCGAACCCAAAGCCCATCACTGGGCAACGCGGGACTGCGAGGCTGCGCAGACGCAGAGCGCAGGCCCG